CTTCCTCCGGGTAGTAAACCCTTAGGATCCAAGTGGGTCTTTAAAAGGAAGATGAAACCGGACGGTTCCATCGAGAAGTATAAGGCTAGGCTTGTAATCAAGGGTTACAGGCAACGCGAGGGCCTCGATTACTTCGACATGTATTCTCCCGTGACGAGAATAAACTCCATTAGGATGATACTTGCCATAGCCGCGTTGCGGAACTTAGAAGTTCATCAAATGGATGTGAAAACCGCTTTCCTAAATGGCGAATTAGATGAGGAAATCTATATGGAACAACCCGAAGGGTTCGTGGTTCCGGGCCAAGAGAGGAAAGTGTGTAAGTTGGTTAAATCGCTCTATGGTTTAAAACAAGCGCCTAAGCAGTGGCACGAGAAGTTTGACCATGCGATGTTAACGAACGGGTTTAAAATAAACGAAGGTGACAAATGTGTCTACGTTAAGGGAACGATAGATGGCTACGTCATTCTTTGTTTATATGTCGATGATATTCTCATCGTTGGTAGTAATGATCGGATGATCAAGTCTACCAAAAACATGTTAAATGCGAGATTTGACATGAAGGATATGGGTTTGGCTGATTTAATCCTCGGGATTAGAATCATTAGAAGACCTGATGGTCTCGTGTTGAGCCAATCACATTATATTGACAAAATCCTTGAGAGATTTAACAAGGATGATAGTCAAGTGGCTAGGACACCATTTGATACAAATATTCATCTAACCAAGAACCACGGAGAAGGTATTTCACAAGTGGAATATGCTCGGGTCATTGGTAGCTTGATGTATCTTATGAGCTGTACTAGGCCGGATATTGCCTATGCGGTTAGTAAACTCAGTAGATATACGAGTAACCCCGGTGCTATGCACTGGAAGGCAATAGTAAAGGTTATGAGATACTTGAGGTATACTCGTGGTCTTGGACTGCACTACGGGAGATATCCCGCTGTACTTGAAGGGTATAGCGATGCGAATTGGATATCTGATATTAAGGACTCTAAGTCCACGAGTGGCTACGTGTTTACACTAGCCGGTGCAGCCGTTGCATGGAAATCCTCTAAGCAAACTGTGATAGATAGATCCACGATGGAATCTGAGCTAATAGCCTTGGACAAAGGTTGTGAAGAGGCTGAATGGCTACGCCATTTTATAGAGGATATTCCTAATTGGGAAAGACCGGTACCTCCAATATGTGTGCATTGCGATAGTCAAGCCACAATTGGGAGAGTACAGAGTCATATGTATAATGGTAAGTCTAGGCATGTACATCGTAGACATAATACCATTAGACAACTACTCACAACTGGAGTTGTCTCGATTGACTACGTAAAGTCAAAAGACAATATAGCGGATCCGCTGACCAAAGGGTTAGGAAGAGAAGTTATGGAGAAGTTGACACGAGGAATGGGTCTACTGCCCTTGGACTAAAAAGTTCTATAGTGGATACCCAACCTAGCTGGCACCTAGGTTCAATGGGACAACTAAATTATGGAACGGAGCGCGTCACTGTGGGGGTCTCGGACTCCCTACCACTCCTCGTTAAAACAGTGACTCCTGCAAGAGGCTAGCATATTAATGCTTTAATGATTCTTGAGTATGCGGGATACTCGAGAAAGAATCACCTATGTTAGAGAGAAGTGAGGGTCGCTTCAAAGGAGAATTGTTGGGCACAATTCTTTAGAAACTCTCGCAGAACCAGGAACGGTGACCCACGACCAAAACGGGCACACTCATGAGAGCAAGAGCATGGTTGGGAGATTCCTGTGTGAGATATGTCATCGTCTACACAAACGGCAGTCGGTTCAAAGACATCGCGTTCTACCGTACAGCCAGTAGAGTAAACATGTCTTTACGAGGGAAGGTTCAAAGGGTATAGTGACTCCCTACCTATCCTATGCAGGGATCGACCATTTGAACACAGTTGTTTCCGATTTCAAAATACCCCGAAAATCAATTTTTCATTCATGTGGGGGATTGTTGGAAAAAATAGCTTAAAATGGCATAAAATGGCATGTTAAGTGGCTATTTTGTGGTACAATTATCAGTGGGGTCCACTTCCGATTTGGGTCGGGTCAAAGTGGATTCGGATTCTTCGTAGTGAGACGAAGAGATCGATATATTGTACGCTCAAAACGGATAATGGGTGAATGAGATATTGATTCTCAAAGTAGACCCATTTGAGTTGGAAAATGAAGGGAAAAAAGTGAGCTTTTTGTCCCACATTGCTTTGGAATGAAGATTTTCCCCCCTTATATACAAGAGCTCTTTTGAAGCTTGTAGAATTGTATAGCATAGAGGCTCTCTCGCGCGGGGGGGTGGGTGTGCAAATCAAATTCCAACGAGCAGAGATTGAAAAAGGCTTGATTCAAGCCCGAGCTCGTGTGCGCCGGCACCTGGGGGCACGAATGTCGTCCGGAAATTGGCTGGCCTTGCGGGCTAAGTTATGCCAAACTTTGGTATCATTTTCCAACTGGTATAGCCACTTGGTTCGGGTTCGGCCAGAACCGAACCGAGAGCACACCTACTCTCGTGCTACAAGAGAGCACGAGAGGTTGTGGTGCGCCGAGAGCACAACTCTCGTGCAACAGCCACCTACTCTCGTGCTACAAGAGAGCACGAGAGGTTGTGGTCACCGAGAGCACAACTCTCGTGCAACAGAGTCCACGAAAGGTGCAAGGGCAGAAATTGGATGAGGTCGAAAGTTGAGACCGAACCCTGTACGCTAACGGTCAGGAACCCGAAAGTTCTGACTGTTGAGGGGATTGAATTCATCTGTTACAGAATTAATTGTCTATTAATTCCAATTTTGAATTCTGAATTCAATTCCCAGGTAGTGGCCTGCTGTTATAGCTATTGGAAGGCAGCTTTAATGTCATTTTTAATTGCCATAATAAAGGCTATTGGCTCCTTCAACCCTATATAAGAGAGGGTAGAGGCAGTAGAGTTTAACACACAGCTTTACACAGCACGAAAGTATATTTTTCCAGCTTCAAAAATCTCTGCTTCTACTCTTTCTTTAGCTATACTGTGTTCATAGCCATTGTCTTGCTCGCCGGATCCTTTGTTTGAATGCTCAAACATTGGATCATAGCAAGTTTTATCCTGGGAAGCCTAGGCCACAACGCTCCTAGCATCTACGGGAGGTGACAAATAAGGTTTTAAGGAAAGAGTGCTCACTCGACTCTTGCAAAAACCCAACACCAAACACTAGCCAAATTTCTTCATCTTTTCTTCCCTTCTTTCCAGGAAAATAATAGTCAATTTTATTTGATTATTATTTGTTTTTCTACCAACGCTACCAACAGTATTCATTTTGATGAGTATCATAAACCACTAAGCCATTTTAGGAAGAACTTCAAGTCCTACATTGGCACTTTGGCTCGATTGCATGTGGACATTAATATTAGTGATTGGCATAAAATTGGATAAGTATTGAAGGATAAATATGGGATGAAATAAAGGTATACAATACTTTTATCTATTGATATTTACCTTATTAAGTATTGACTATTGATTTTTTTTTTCTTGTGTGCAATCAGAAAGTTTTCAACATTGAAGATGATAAGTTGAAAGAAACAGTATTAAAGATTGCTGGGCAACGGTGGAAGGATTTCAAAACGAGATTAGGATTAACAAGAAGCACCCAAAATATGAATCTCCATGTGAGTTTTATAGTTTCTTGACTAAAGCACAATGGGATATTTTTAAAGCAAATCGCATGACTGAAGAGTTCAAGGTATGATTAATTAAATTGTGATACTAGTTTGAATGTCTTTTTATTTGTATATGTTATCATGATTAAAAATTCCCTCTTTGTGTTCATGAGTGACTAATTATGTTGTCATGTGTCTGGCTTTATTTTGGATAATGCTCATGCAGTCATGCTCATTACTGAAAGTTAGGCAAATGTCTGCATTTTGTTCAGTACTACCACAAAAGTTTTGAAAGGCTATAGTGGTGCTTGTAATTAGAAACTGCATTGTCTGCACATTAGTGGGGCCTGTAATGTATATAATGGAGAATGAATGAGAAAAAAGAAAAAGTAGATGGTAAAATTGTTTGCTGCTTTCACAAACTACTTTTTACTATATATATATTTCTTTTTTGAAAGGCTATATATCTATTATTATTCTCAATTCTGTTGAATTATAATATCTTCATCACAGAACTCTTTTAAGTCCTGAACTTTAGTGTAACTAGAAACTCCATGAGTGCATGACCTCTGCATTTGTCCACTCATAGGAGAAAAGTGAAACAGCAAGGGTAAAGCAACGAAAAAAATGTACATCCACATTATTTAGATTCTAATATCTTTTATCATACCAACGTGAGAAGTATTTTTGTGATGATGGATAATATTAACGAATTGTTAACTATGAAATGGCTAGATGTATTCATTATACAAGTCTTTATAATGTAAATTCGTATATTCATTAATTTGAAAATGTTAATTTTTATTTTTCATGTATTACTTAATGATATTCATGTATTACTTAATGATTTTTTAGGTATCTTCACAAATTGTGCAATCAATTTGGGACTGACTTAGTTGAATTTTTGTGTCTAACACAGATAGCAAAGGCCACTCTTGATTTAAATTTTAATGTTGTCACTGCATATATTGCAAATACTATGGTCACATTGAAGGACAAGACATTAATTTTAGCATCGTATCATCAATCGTAAGTAATCTATTCTTCTTACTTGTCTATATAAGTGAATTATATTTGAATTATTACCAATTGAATTTGCAATATAATGTATGTGTTTATAAATTGTAGAGACCATTGTTTGCTTCTTGTGATTAAAGTTTGTTCGAGAACAGTATATGTTTTTTATCCTAATGTGATCGGAATATAGAACTCAAAGGCTACGATGAATCTGTAAGTAAAAGTATATCTATATATAAATTTATTTATATAATGTGTTATAATTTATAAATTGCGTTTATTACATTAATGATAGGGCATTCCGATCATATATGAATCAATAAGGACAAAGAGCAACAAATCCTTTCAAGTTTGAGCATGTAAAGGTAAAATACAATAATGTTTACTTATTAATTTATTTGTTAGCTAGATTACAAATAATATTTACTATATTTTCATTTGTTTTTCTAGTGTCCTCAACAATCGAGTGATTTTGAGTGTGGATATTATGTTATGAAGTATATGCATGAACTATGCACAAAATATTCCACATTCACTTCTTTGGATAAGGTACATATAAAGTGATATTAAATAAGTATTTGGTAATAATTGAATTAATTATAATTGATTACTAATATAATTAATAATTTATTTGTAGGTTTTTCAAGACACTATGACATATTCCATTGAAGAAATTGATGAGATTCATGAGATGTGGGCCAAGTATTTTTATAATGAATGTGTATAAGTGTGTGTATCATGATGGAGTACTTAGATGTTGATGGTTGGATTATATTGTCTACTATATATATTAGTTTGGATTATATATTATGGATTATTGTAGTTTAGTTTGGATTGTAGTGTGGATTACTATTTTGAATTGTGATGTAATTTGGATTATATTGTGAATTGTGAAATATAATCGTGTTAATTAATATTGTGTTGGAGGATATTATTGTGCATGATTGATTTTACTGTAGCAAGGTGAACAAAATTGATGAAAAGAATTTTTTTTAAATATAAATGGGCGTCTGTTCTTTGCTAGGAACAAACGCCTAAACTGCGAAATTTGCAAAATCTGGTAGGAACAGGCGTCAGTTGTTTTCAATAGTTGAGAATACGCGACTGCGAACAACAGACGCCTAAAGAAATAAGTTCATAAACACCTGTTGTAAAAGAGACGCCTATAGCTCCAAACAACAGACGTGAATCACCTGTTTTGTACTAGTGATAAAATTCGCAATCAGGAGGAGAGGGAGAATACAATTTTACCTTAAATACAACTCAACTCATTCTTGAAAATCCCTAAAACTCCTGCAAACCTTCGATCAGCTTATAGGATACGATGGGAGGCGCATCGGAGAAGACGCAACCTCTTCTTCTGCCCCAAGATATTCTCGTCGGAATCCTCTCCAAGCTCCCCGCTAAATCGCTAGTACGATTCAGGTGCGTTTCTAAATTCTTTTGCGCTCTCATAGCCGACCATGGCTGTCCTTGACACTTCCCACTAGGGCGGGCATCCTCATCGCTATCATACAGCCAAAGCGGCTCTCCTCCCGTTCCTCCCATGTGTATTACACCATAAATTTCAGCGAAGGGCAGCCGGGAATGCTCCAAGCCAACCGTCTTGGCTACTTGGACGCTGAACCATTTTTGGAAGGCTGTCTACACTCCTCCTCGGATGGCCTGATTTGTATGTCCAGACCCAATGGAGATGTCGTTGTTTGCAACGTTTGCACGGGACAACGTATTTCCCTTCCGATAATCCGAAAAAAAAATGATGAATGAGTTCCTTCCACTCAACAACACCCCAAATTTACTAATTAATGATATAGATGGGCAAGATTGGACATGTCTTCTATGTCATATACATTCATGGAGGGGCAAATTTCACCGTGAATTGCCCTGGATGACATGACTATGTACAATAATGATACACACGTTCATGAAATACACACCCTTAATATTCATATACAATGGATCTATTGATAGTATATTACTAACACCAATAATAATTATGCTACTAATATTATACTAATTAACTATACAAGGTAATGATCTTTTATTCTAATATACATAATTTCCTTCTACTAATATGTGATCAATTCTCATCAAATATGGCCTCCAAATTGATTATTTCATTTTAGACTTCCACCTAATTGAGCGACCAATTATTTATTTCTTTTTGTGTATCACTCTCCACCCATTAAAAAAACATCTTGACCTCAAGTTGTACAGAGTGATAAAATAGGACCATATTGTGCGCGGAAGTTCATGCCACCCCGGTAGGCGGTGGATTTGTAGAAAAAACGATTCAAATGATTTTTGTGTGTGATCATGACCTCTGAATGACCCACGTACTCTCTTAGCTTGCCTTGCCTTCTAATACTCCAAAATGTCATCTAATGATGGGTGATCTTGTGAAAGTTTTACATCCTCCTCTCGTTTGAGTCTCACATCATAACCATTTTCTTGTTGGATCCGTTGGTAGAAAAACAAATAATAATCCAATAAATAAGATTATTATTTTTCTGGAAAGTAAGGGAAGGAACAAGTTTAGTATACATAAGTGACAATTCTACCTGGAACATGTTAAATTTTGGAAGATTAATCTTCAAAACAAATTGATGCCCATAAACAGGGGGATCAAATTGCTCAATTCCCATTAATGGTGAAGCAATATTACAGAGCAGAAAATGGACATAGTTAGGGTGATTTGTGTGGTGTTTGGATTTGTAGTGTGTTTGAAGGGAATCAACTATTTGGGTTAAAGTATGTATGGAATGTTGAATTGAAGAGCTTTCAAGGCTTGTATGTAATAATGGTTTTGGTCATGAAGTTGCTGACGGATTTCGAACAAATTAAGATTCTACCCACTGTTGAGAAGCCGAATGATTTTGTGGGGTGATATTAATAGCAATGTAAAATAGAGATCAATGAAACTTTTAAAGATTTTTTTTTTTCATTTTTTCCTTTCCTCAAATAATGACTCTATAAGTTCCTTTCTTCGCGAAAAACAAAAATAATAATAATAATAAATAAAAAAATTCAGTGTATCCAATAGTTAAAGCTAGGACAAAAAAAAAAAAAAAAAAACAAAACTAGTAGTGTCAAAAAATATAAATATTTGCAACTAAATATAAATTTAAAAATCATTTCTATATATATGAACCTTAAAAAAAATCATATAATACTCCAATAGCGATATTATGATATATAGTATTAACCAAATGGCACCTAAATATAATATCACCACTCTAATAAAAACATTCCATACAGATCGGAACACGTGAACTAATGCAGAACATATATGGCAAATGAAGTATTTTCTGGTATATGTTCAGAATATGTATAGAATTGATATGGTCCTCGAAAGTATAGAAAGATAACAGAATTCAGAATATGTATAGAATTGATCTTGGAAAGATAAAACCAAAATATTATTTCAGTCTTGACTACTCAAATCCAAGTTGTAGAGAAAATGTGATATTAAGGGAAATGTAAAACAATAGATTGCAGTTGTATTCCCTTAGCTTCCCCCCATAAATTGCAGCAGCCAGCAGAGCAGCTACAAAAGACAATAGCAAAACTATATTAAAAGCAGTTCAGACAAATGTAATAATTGCCTCTAAGTTTGTAATATGTATAAGAGAAGAGAAGAAAAGAATGAATCAATAAATATAATGAAGCTGTCAAAGGAATGAATCAAATTGATCTGATCAAAGTGGAAAATTTATATAAGGAGAATATGGAAAGGTAAAGGAATAAAGGGAAAATAATAATGTCAAAACTATACACTATATATATATATATATATATATATATATATATAGAGAGAGAGAGAGAGAGACTGAGTAAAGCCTAGCTCCAAGATACACTTAGAGACTTAATGAAAGGCTAATTTAAGGGAGCAACTAACATAACTCTTTTAATATTCACATAACTTATTTGAGATATCCCGGCCTCATACAAAATTATTATATTCCGCCAAAGTAGTAAAAAAGAGGAAATAAGACACATGATCATGTTTAAACAAAATTAGTGACGGTGCAATAAAAGGACAAAATTAAAGTCTACCTCCAAGTGACAACTTAATTTAATTTGGGATCCAGTGAACATAAAGTAAACTATATATGAAGTTTGTTAAGGATGTATATATAGAAAATAATGGATCGGAATTACAAAAAGAATATAATTATATTGTTTACAACCTAACCTAGCTAGCTAGCAATATAAAGTTGAGTATGAAGTTTAATAAAATAATACAAATACAAAAGAACCAGAAGATTGGATATAAGAATATAATGTATGTCTCTCCATCTAAGTTATGCTAAGGGACATATATTAAACAATTAAATTAAAGGATCTATTGGACCTCATCTAATTAATTTTCACATAAAATTAAAGCAAGCCTCCTTTGCTTTGCTTTGCTTCTCTTCTAGAACCTAATTATTCCAAAAACACTTTAACTCCTCCTGATAGGATAGTGCCTAATTAAGCAATATAATGGTTAGTGTGGGATATGACATTGGACTCACTAATTTTACTCACTAATGGTTAGTGTGGGATATGACATTGGACTCACTAATTTTACTCCAAAATGGAATGGAAGCTAAGCATGCAGATGCAGTGAAATAAATAAGTTTCAAGTCACATTTCAAATTAACACTCCTTTCCATCTCCACATTTTATTCAATTTGTTTATCCATATATGGATCACATGATTTTACTCAATCCACATTGTTAGCTAGGCATTTATATATTTAAGTTTACATTCCAATTTCGATCAGTTTTTCTATCTGTCCATATATAAACATATTGTCTAATCCAGTCATCAACAAACCAAAAGTGCACATCTATCTATCCTGAATATATATATATATATATATATATATATATATATATTCACAAGCTAAGGTAGAATAGAAAGCTATTTTCTGAAATATATAGATCGAGATATACCTGTACATGCAATGATATAAGCCAGCCAGCACAAACATGTTTCAGCTGCCCTGAAGGTCAAGCTCTCCGCTGTTATAGCTTGAATTATCAGTATACAGTTCCTGCCATCCTTTCCATTTCTCACCAGCTTTCAAAGGCAAGTTGACAATCAAGTCAAAATTAAAGATCTACTATTGTCAACAATATCAGGCTATGAAGATTCAAATTTCAAATATCAAATTATCCCACTCCAACGGATATATTTGATTGCCTATAAAAAGCCATGAAGACTTGAAGATACAAGACAGAGGTGCAATACACACGGATAAACAAAGTGCAAATTCAAAAGTGCAAGTGCTCAAATATTCTTAGAGACTTAGTCTGAATAGTCTCAAATCTAGTTGGAGAGAGATACAATTACATTTGTATTTGTAATTGTAAAAAGAGTATAGCTGTGTGCAAAATACTCTAGTGAGTGTAGCTGTGTGCAAAACACTCGTAGTTGCTAAGTGTAGCTGTGTGCAAGACACTTGGTTGGCGTTGAGTATAGCTGTGTGCGAAATACTCGGAGTTGAGTGTAGCTGTGTGCGAGACACTCGGAGTTGGGTGTAGCTGTGTGCAAGACATCCGGAAGAAGTGCTTGTGTAGCGCTTATTCACTATTGTAACTGTGTGTGGAAAATAGTGAATTACTCCAAGAAGTGAATGGAGTAAAGTAGACTAGGAAGATTACGCCACTTCCGAACCACTATAAATTGTCTCTCTCATTTACATACCACACTTACATAATTTTCTCTATTTATTTATTTTATCCGACTAACCCGTTTACTATTCACAGTTAATCTTAATCTTTAGGGTTTAGTGTGTTTTCACGTATGCATGTGACTCAAACTTCTCGAGCTTAAATATTGAATTATTCTAAGCAAGTTTGACGTGTTGCATGTAACGTTCGTTACACGGTCGACGTGATACGATATTTATTTACAATCTTGAATATTATTATTATATATTGAGTGCACCATCACCTTTATATATTCAAGATATCTCTGTCCCACTTTACATATCATCTGTACCCATCTTACATGCGCATTTAAATTATCGGTTGGGCATAACTCTTTACATACTATTATTCCGCTGTGTAGTTTTAAACTTACTCTATTTACTTGTTACTTAGAGTTGAAGTTACCAAAGAGTTATTTATTTTGAAAAAGCGTGAAAGTCTATTCACCCCCCCCCCCCCCCCCTCTAGACTTTCACCAACCTATCGGGACCAACAATTGGTATCAGAGCGGTTGTCTATTCGAGTCAATTTTGACTGCTAGACAGATCTCAAAAATCAAGATGATGAAAAGAGATATAGCTCTTGCCCAAAACTTATTATTTTACTTAGAGAAATTTAATGATTGGAAAATTCGCATGCAGGTACATCTATCGGCATTACATGATGAAATGTGGGAAGTGGTTACGAGCGGTCCTATTGAGATTTTACAAATCAACACCTCATCCGTACAAACAAGTGACACTCCACAATACATTCCAAAACCAAAAGCGGAATGGTCTCGTGAAGATAGAACAAGAAATAACTTGGACAATATTGCCAATGATATTTGTTTAAATCTATCGATGACACAATATTTCCAAAAGTCCGAAAATGTCAATCCGCGAAGGAAGTTTGGGAAACACTCATTCAAATTGGTGAAGGAGACGAGCAAGAAAAGGATAATAAGCTCACCATAGCATTAAAGAAATTTGAGGATTTCAAAATGCTAAACGGCGAGAATATTACCGACATAGAAACAAGATTTGCCAAAATCTTAAGAGAGATTAATGATCTTGGAAAAGATATTAATCAAAAAGAAATCTCACTCAAAATTCTACGTGGTCTACCATCTACATGGGACATGAAGGTCACGGCCATGAGAGATCATAGGGATCTAAAAACCCTATCAACCGATAAGCTCTTTAGTGATCTAAAAGCTTATGAATTTGAGATGAAATCAAGATTAGAGGAAGATCATGAAGAAAAGAACAACACGCTTGTAGCTGAGCAACCATCAACTTCAAGGTCAGTACAAAATGTTGAATTATTGCCTAATGATCAATTTGCTCTCTTTGTCAAGAAATTTAGGAAAATCATGAAGAGAAGCAACTACAAGAAAAATCCACAAGGGAAATCGTGGAATGCAACAAAGAACTCAAAGAAATAAATAGTTGAGGAAGACTCAAATTTGTGCTACAACTGTAGAAAGCCTAGGACACTTTGCAGCTAGTTGTCCACACCCCAAGGTAAGTAAAAATCAATATACAAATATTTCTAACTCTCAACAGGAAGAATTCAAGACCAAAGATAAAAGGTTCACAAAGGAAAGAAGAAAAGCACTTATTAGTGACCCACTTGAGATAAGTGAGTCAGAAGAATCTTCAAGTGATGAAAGTGACACCTCAAAGGATGACAATCCAATGTTTTGCATGAGCATCTCCAACAACACACCCTACGAGGACATGTGTCTTATGGCAAATGGAAGTGAAGAAAATGACACTACTACAAAAATGAACATATAAGTATAGCTTTACACTACACCTCTTAATAAAGGTGTAGTGAATAGTTGAAACAAATAAGAATACACTACACCTTTATTTTAAAGGTGTAGTGAAAAATAATTTCGATTAAAAAAAAAAGAAAAAATAAAATATTTTTGGATTTTTCGTGGCACGTCCAGGAAAATAGTGTCGCGAAAAGTTAAATAATAAAATATTATTTAACTTTCCGAGACACCCTCTTTTAGGGGTGCCACGAGAAATTTAACAATAAAATATTTGATAAACTTTTCGAGTCACCCTCCAAGAGAAGGTGCCTTGGAAATTTTATTATTATTTTATTATTTAATTTTCCCGAGGCACCTTCTCCAATGAAGGAGCCGTGGAAAATCCTCCAAATCTGATATGTTTTTCCAATATTTTTTTTTCTTTTTAGAAAATCACACCAAAATCTAAATTATTTCACTCTAATCTGTCCATCTTCTCCGCTCAAATGTCACTCTGCCTCTCCCTTTTTCTCTCACTCTCACCCGACGCAACCACCGCCTCCACCGCCACAACCGCTGACTCTGACTCTCACCCTCTCAGATCTGTCTCCTCCACCGGCCGTCGACGCTCCTGCCACGCTCCACCGCCACCGTCGACACAACGCCTGCCTCAGCCACCGCTGGCGTTGGAGATATCGCTGCCAAACCCCCCGTCGCTGACAATGACCCTGGTGCTGATCTCCCAGATCTGATTTCGTCCTGGTGATGACGACTTGAGAGCATCGAGGCCCTGAAAAAGCCTAATGTCCTCTCTCTCGACGCCTTCTACCAGAACGAACTCCCTTTTCTCCTCCGGCAACGGAACCCTAATCCGAACCTCACCAAGCTCATGCAATAAACGAGGTCGGAATTCGGCGGAAGAGTGGAGAAGCCGAGGTCCGAGACGGAGAGACTGGAGAGTGGAGAAGCTGAGAAGCGGAGAAGGGTAGGGCTAATCCGCAACTCAAAGTCAAAATCAGGAACATAACCAAAGGAAAAAACCTCCAGCTCGTGTATCTCACACAGAGGTATACTCGTGATCCGAATCTCTAGTCTTTACCGGTTCTTTTTGTTCTATGTTCACCATTTTATTGATTCTTGCTATAATTTTATATTTTATTGGTTCTTACTGCATTGAGGTTAATTAAGTTGAACTCAATTGTGCATTGGATTGAGTATGCTCTTTATTTCCTAGCTTTCAGGGTCCTTAGAGTTGTTATCTGCATTTTCTGTGCATTGGATTGAGTATGCTCTTATTCATCTTATATTGTTGGAAAGTTGAATAAATGTTAGTGTTCAAACGTTTGTATCTACAAATGCACAAGCTCATACTTTTTATGATTTCAATTATATATAACCTTTTAAGTTATTGGAGTGGAGAACATTCAGCTGGCCTGTAATTTATGCATCATAATTCCTACTTGTCATTACATTTATGGAATGAATAAGCATTTATGACAGAACTGTTGTATTCATTTCTTGGTTAGACTATATACTTCTCCCTCCAATATTGACCGGAAGGGCACCGTTCCTTCCACACCCAACACGAACACCATTAATTTATTTGATTTCAATAGTTTAAATTCAATTTTTGATTTTGTTAATATGATTGATACTTTCATGTTATTCAGTTTTTTTGGTTTTGCATAGCTCATAGTCAATGGGCTTTGCATCTCTTGGTTCGCCTCAAGGGAAGAGGTCTTCTTTTGCAAGACTTGGAGGCAAAGTTGAAATATCCAAAAGAAGAAGCATCAATTGGTTTAACTTTGTGGTGTATGAATTCTTCAACCCAATTCAACTAATAACTGTCATTTGCCCAAAGAGCATCATCATTGGTTTAACTTTTGTTGGGTTTTTTCTTAGGTGGAAGGCAAAGGAATGTAAAGTTAGCTAATTTAATTCACCTTGGTTTGTGGCTCAACTCAATTATGTTTAAAGGACTTTATGGTGATTGCATTCTCCCAAATTACATAGGTGAATAAAAGGACTTTTGTGGAGCTGCATGTTGGTGATGTAATACGGTTTGGACAGTAAGTAATTACCTGATTTTTTTTCTCCTTTTTGTTTTTGATACAGACTGCTTAGTATTGCCTTATTGTTTTGGGGATATTGGTTGAATAGTGGTGGACTTGTGGCAGTATAAATTTAATTTCCCGAAGTATGATGCATTTATGTATTCTTAGATTTACTTCAATGCTATATAAATTCATAATGTCTCATAGAAGAAAAGACGCTACATTTATGATGAAATGTCCACCAGTAGTTTCTTTCTTGAAGTTGTATGCTTACTTCTATCATTCAAATAGAACTATAATGTATATTAATTAATTTATATTTGGATAATTAAAATTAAACTATAATAATCTTCTTTGTTAATGTGTTTGCACTTTACGACTTTAGCCAGGTAGTATTTACAAATATAGAGGGTTTCTCCCTTAAAGATGAATTTCAAAAACCTTATTTTCATTTAGCAAAATTGGTTGTTTTAATTCCCCAGGGGTTCTGATTCAGATTTTGTAGCGGCTGTAGAATTCCTATGTCTGGCTGGACAATTTCATTGCAGATTTCTTGACATGCATGACTGAATCTGTGCTTATTTCAATCTCGTCGCAGCTTCTACGCATCGAAGAGGAACTTGGGCTAGAGTACATCCACGAGCATACAGTTGGAAAAATTTGTGATGTTGGATTCGTTGATGACAACATTCGTTAATGACAGATTTGGTTAGTATTGATTTTCACTAAGGCAATGTGGCATTATAGATTAGTTAGTGGTTTATATAGACATTATGCCCTTGTGGGGTGATCACTTTTGGGTCACATGTAAAACATTGTTTTAGTGGCAATGAATAACTCCTTTAAAAAAAATATTTCTTTATTAAATTTTTCTTCTTGGTAATTTTTTCTTTATATATATATATATATATATATATATATATATATATATATATATATATATATATATATATATATATATATATATTAAATGGTAATGTAACACCCCGTGTTACGACCCCTAAAACCAATTAATCACTTAACCAATTATCCAAAGAAAGAATTAAATTATAGCAATTAATTAGGAAAAGGCCCACCATAGTCTGTGGGCCCTCATCTCTAAACCCAACCCCTAGTCCTAAAAGGAATAGAGTTAGCAAGCCTATAGTATTTGGACCCTAAGTAAGACTCTTAGATATATAAATAGGGAACATAGGAGGCACCTAGAACCCCCACCACAATAATCTCTCACCACACCAAGAATTCCAAGAATTCCCCTAGGAGAAATCAAGAAAGAAAAAAGCTTAAAGAAAGACCCTTCATAGCCAAGGAATTAATTAAGGCTAAGAGGTAATCCATGTCTCAACAAAACCTATTTTCATAGCTATGATTCCCCTCTTAGGATTTCCCCATATTCTTGTGTGTTGATGATTCGTTATATTGATCTTGATAATTGGTGTTATGATTCCATGGGTAATCTTGATGATCTTGATGATGATAAGAGGTTCTTGATGATCATATGAGGTTCTTGATGATTATGTGATGTTCTTGATGATTATGTGATGTTCTTAATGATTATATGATGTTCTTGATGTTTATGTGATATTCTTAGCGAATCTTGATATTAGAAGATGAATTGTGTTCTTGTTGATTAAAAGTGATTAGAACCCTAAGTTGTATTGTGAAACTCCTATGGTATTATTCTTGGTGTATTGGGTGGAAATTCACATGTTCGGGTATTAATTAGGTTTAGGAAAGCATGATAGGATATGTGTCGTATGTTTCATGCTTTTGATCCGTTAATTGTCTACGTGTTGTTATCAATTGCGTTTGAAAGTGTCTAAGCATGGTTCCGGGTTCCACGAAGGTTCCCAGGGCGTTTTTGTGATGAAAGAGTCAGTGGGGGGTAGGTGGGGGTAGGGGACCCGCCACCTACCCGCGGCCAATATTAACGTTGCCGGCAGCGGGCAGCTGCCCGCCGGGCACCCGCTGCCCGGCACCACGACGCCGGCGGGCAGCCGGCGGGTGAACCCTCACCCACCGTCTACCCGCTGGAAATTACCCTACCTTGGGATTTTGGCTTCTCCGATTTGATGTTCCCCCGATCCTCGTGGTGTCCCAACGGACTCTGTCTATCGTGCCTTTGTCTAGTTTGATATTTCGGGTACCGTTCGTAGGTTGTATGAGTCTTATATATTGCATGCTAGTTGAATTGGTACCCCGTTGGCCTAGGTGTAAGAAGTATGAACCCCTTAGGATCACTCTTAGTATATGGATGATCACGCATAGGTTTCGTTATACGATTTCTCCTCCTTCCCAATGTGCTAATGTGGGCTGCATGTGCTTGCTATGTGTTATGTGTGCATGATACCCCAATTCGGTTGCGATCGAATTGGTTATTCCTGAGCTGCGGTTCAGAAGCTGGCTACGGTCAGATTTACACTCTTGGGCTGCGGTCCACCGTTTGGTTGCGATTAAACGTTTCTACATGAGCTGCGGTTGATATTTCCGGGCTGCGGTCAGATGACTACTCTTGGGCTGCGGTCCACTGTTTGGTTGCGATCAAACATTATGATGAGCTGCGGTTCATCGGTCGGTTGCGATCGACCCCTCCGTGTTGCGATACGGGGCAGGGTGCTTCGGGGCCGTGTCAGAGCTATATGCGCTGACCCTCATGTATGCGCATGCGATTGGTCCTGTGGCGCCAACAAAGTGTGCTATGTGATGAGATATGGATGGTTTGATGTTATGATTTTTACGAAGGCGTGACCATAGGACACATGCTAGTGAACTATATATGCTTGGTTATGATTATTGACTGTGCTTATCTATATCTGTGCCCTACGTTGAGAATTGTGTGTGCTTGGTTATGTCTGTTGATTGTGTTTATCCCTATCTGTCGAGTCTATTCCCTGTTTGAAAGCTAGAGTCTCTTAGGATATATCTTCATGCTTCGAAATGGTTTTCTTATATCTATGTATATATCTATATGTATTGTATTTCAACGCGTTGGAGTGGGTTACCAGCATCTCTCGCTGAACAGATATATTTGGCTTTCAGGCACAGAAGAGTAGACACTGGAGCGCGCTAGAACCTTGAAGCGTAGAAGTAGTTAGTTTCCCTTTCGGCCTGCGTGCCATGATTATGTATTTGCATTATTGAGGATATTAGTTAGTTAGCCTGTGCACCTGAGTTCTCTAGCTCAGGTGTGGCATAGCACCCCGTACTCTTTATATTATGTTTTGGGAATTAATGAGATTTCACCTTATTTATATAAGCTTCAAAAGCTTGAAAATTTCGGGGTGTTATAGTTAACTTTCCGAGGCACCCACTTGTAAGTGGGTGTCTCGGAAACAAATTAATAAAATAATAAAAAAGGACTATCCGAGGCACCTGCAGCGGAGCAGGTGCCTCGGAAAGTCCATATTAAAAAATTAAAAAAAATCATCCTCCACTTTCCGAGTCACCCTTTACGGGTGACTCGGAAAGCGGAGGACAATCACAGTCTCCAAGATCCGAGTCACCTGTACAGGTGACTCGGAAAGTGTTTTATGGGTGACTCTAAAAGCTTTTTTTGTACTAGTGTGAGGTAACATCTAATTCTTATGACTCTGTAAATTCTTCATTTTCTAGAGAGTCCTTCTTTCAGTTAATGGAAGAATGTCAAACCGTAATGGACACTCACTCTCAACTCAAAGAGCGCAATTGTCTTTTGATTCTTGAAAAAGATCAAATAAATGAAAAATTGCAAAATGCTCTACTTGAAGTGAAAGACTTGAAAGATAAAATTATTTGTCTTCAAGAAGAGTGTAAATCAAGGGAAGTGAGAGAACACAACCTCAGAGAGGTTATAGCAACATTTACACATTCATCCAAAATAATGGACAAAATGGTAAATATGCAAAAACCCTCAAGTGATAAAATCGGACTTGGTTATAATCCATCGTGTTCTCAAGCCTCCAAAAACTTGGCCAATTCTACTACCACTTTAAATAATAAAGTTCAAATAGTAAAATTTGTAAAAGGTCAAGAAAGCACAGTGAGACAAGGAATTGGTCACCAAACTAATGTCAAAATTAATGCTGTTAGGCCGAAGCCTCAAAGAAACAATATTTCGCCTAAACAGTATGAAAAAAGACAAAAGTTTGTTCCTAGATGGAAATACACCAATGAGTCTAGTGCACAAAGCCCTCATAGGAGAATGGGAAGGAATCCAAGAATTGAGGCAGGGAGATTTTATCCTTCTAGACAAGATTGGTTTGATGATACTAAACCATGGACCAAGTCCAGATTTAATGCCTATCATAGGCTCAAACAATCTACCTCCCACGTGCCAAAAAATCGAGTAAATTTTCAAAAACCTGGCACAAAAATTGTTTTCAAAAATTAAATATGATTATAATATGTTTAATGGTTACCAATCACCTAGACTTAGATCAGTGAGTACAAGGTGGATTTGGGTACCAAAAATAACTAACACCCAAGGACCCAAGTCAAGTTGGGTACCTAAAAATGTGTAATTTATTTGCAGGAAGTTTGGTACTTCGATAGTGGATGTTCTAGACACATGACTGGAAATAAATCTAGTCTTGATGAATCTTAAAAATATCGAAGGACCAAAAGTCGTATTCAGTGGAAATGAACGATACGGCATAACAAAAGGAATTGGTACAATATTTCGAAATGGTTTGAAAATCGAAGATGTATCCTTTGTTGAAGGTCTAAAATTCAACTTGTTAAGTACAAGTCAATTTTGTGACAAAGGATATCTAGTAGAATTCTTCAAAGACAAGTGCCTAAGTGAAGAATAATTCCTAGGGAGAAGTCGTGCTCGAAGGAATAAGGAAGAAAAATATGTATGTTGTGGATTGGAACACAAGCAAAGAATCAGTGTGCCTACTAGCAAACAACTCACACGCAACAAGTTGGGAATGGCATAAGAAGTTGAATCATCTAAACTTCAAGACTATCAACAAGCTAGCAAGAAACAAACTCGTTGAAGGTCTACCCGACAGTGTCTACAAGAAAGATCAAATATGTGATGCTTGCCAAAGAGGAAAGCAAGTCAAGTCATCTTTCAAATCCAAAGCTCAAGAATCTACAACAAGACCGCTAAGTCTACTACACATGGATCTTTTCGGTCCAGTAGACCCAGTAAGTCTAAGTGGTAAGAAATATACACTAGTTGTTGTTGATGATTTTTCCAGGTACACATGGACGATATTTCTCAAGAAGAAAAATGAAGTAGAGCAAAAGTTGCCAGAACTACTCAAGCTACTACAAAACGAGAAAGACTTGAAAATTGCAAAGATCCGAACCGATCGTGGAACTGAGTTCGTGAATCAAGTAACTGAAGCCTACTGCAATTCTCAAGGAATTCTACATCAATTATCTGCCGCACTTACACCTCAACAAAATGGTGTAGCCGAAAGAAGATATAGAACGCTAAAAGAAGCCGCACGAGTGATGATTACGTCAGCCGAGCTACCTAAAAGATATTGGGCTGAAGAAATCAACACCGCTTGCTATACGCAAAATCGAAGCTTGATACACAAGTCTTACAATAAGACTCCGTACGAATTATGGAAAGGGAGAAAACCTAAACTTAATTATTTCCATACTTTTGGCATCAAATGTTTTATTCTTAATAATGGTAAAACATATCTAAAGACTTTTGATGAGCGTGCAGATGAAGGAATATTTTTGGGATATTCATCTACAAGCAAAGCATTAAGTGTATTGAACAAAAAATCAATGGTGGTAGAAGAATCAATTCATGTTACATTTGATGAAGCTCATAAGAAGAAAACCCAGAGAAACAAAAATGATCAGGAAAGATGTCAAGTTGAAAAATCATTTAATGATACTGACATATCTTTTAAAGATCA